ACCACAATACTTGTGGTCAAAATGCAAACAAAAAACACACTATGATAATATATGCATTGTCCTTGAGACTGATTGGTTCACACCAGGGACGGCTTTCTTTTGAGCCTCGACCCAATTGGTGCGAGACCAGAGGACGCCAAAAGGCGTACGCATATATTGCAAATATTATCAGTGTGTTTTTGTTTGCATTTTGACCACAAGTATTGTGGTTAATGCACACCTGATTCCTTGTAAGAGGTTTCAGTTTTGTTGCCAGAAAAAAGGGGAAAAACCCTATTATATTTTGGTACTGGCAAAGGAGGTCTAATGATGGTTGTGACTACTTTGTTAACAAAATGAATGGTCTATTTCCACCTCCAAAATGTAACGTTAAATAACAATTAGGTACATTGGCCCTTTGTTGGAAAAAAAAAAACCCAGTCTAGAAATTGCCCTACTTGAACATATGTTACTGAAAAACATTGGTTTCAGAAGATTCATGGGCTCATAGTCCTACATTTTAAATTGTTTATTCGTGGTATTAAAACTCTTGTACAGTAAAACCTTGGATTGCGAGCATAATTCGTTCCGGAAACGTGTTTGTAATCCAAAGCACTCGTATATCAAAGCACTCGTATATCAGTTGTGATCACGTGACGCTCGGCAGTACAAAGCTGCTCGTATTGCAAGACCCTCGCTCGTTTATCAAATTAATATTTATTAAAAATTTTGCTTGTCTTGTAAAACACTCGCAGACCAAGTTACTCGCAATCCAAGGTTTTACTGTATATGCTGCTCTCTAACAGCACTTGGCCCAGCGGTCTGTTAAGACTATACGGGGGATCTTTTTTGTCTGCGTGCAGGTGTTGATCCAGGGGCTGCAGCATTTAAACCGCGCGATGCACGACGACATCGTGTGCGTGGAGATGTTCCCCGAGGAGCGCTGGGTTGCCCCCTCCTCGCTGGTCCTGCACGATGAGGGCGTCGCAGGGGACGTTGCAGAAGAGAATGAAGAGGATGTGGTGAGTGGAGCGTCAACACTGCCGAACCAAAATCAAACCCAGACACCTGCAGTGTGCGTGTCTCTCTCCCCGTGGTCGCATGGATTTTTCTCCAGGTCCTCCGGCTTTTCCCTCCACAGTTACAATCTGACATGCACTTAGAGTATGTGGCTGCTATCAATTTCAAATGTGATAAGATACTTCACTGAACGATCATTTGTGGCCAGGTCACTTAAAAAGAGCTATAGAGCTCTCAGGGTCCTTACCTGGTAAAGTTATTTAGTTTATAGTTTTTAAATAGTTTTAATATAAATTTTGATTTAAAGCTTTCGTGACTGCAGTAATTCATATTCTTAGTTTTTTTTCGGTAAAGTCACGTTGAAGGGAAACAACAAAATAATAAAATATATAAAACAATAAAAAAATTCTCACGACGTTTCGACCATAACTCAAACGGTCGTCTTCAGGTGTGTTGGTTTGCATAAATTTATTTTTAAACGGCGCATTTATTTATTTATAAAAACGTTAGCGCCACGCGCAACGATTTGGCAGTTTATTTAGGACTAGCCCATCTATATTCTGAAAAGAGGAGGGGGGAGACGAAATTTTTTATAATGTATGCTGTCTGAAAGCCACTGTAAGCGTGAACAATCAATTAAGACCTGAAATGGTTTATCAAATCTTTCCAATGATTGCTAAGATAGAATCCATCTTCTCGGTTGAAATTGTCTCTGTGCTTGTATATGTGGATAGCCTCATGAACGAATCTCTCATGGAAGCCAGATGGCTTACAAAGAACCTCTGTCTTGGAAAAGTCAATGGCATGTGAGCCTACTGAATTAGAACAATGATCTGCCACGGCCGAGGTGTTGGTCCTACCGTGTTTAAGGTCTGCTTTGTGTTCACGAATGCGGTCCGAGACATGGCGTTTGGTTTCTCCAATGTAACTACTACCACAGAGGCAACTTAGTTTGTAGACACCAGGGTATTGTATGTCCGGAATCACATCTTTTACAGACGGAACCAGATCACGGATTTTATGTAATGTGTTGAAACGGACCTGGATCTTGTGTTTATTCAGGATTTTGGAGATCTTTTTTGTGACCCCCGCAATGTAGGGTAAAGTGATGGTTTTGAAAGGCTCCTCAAGAGGGTTCTTCTTCATGGTTTGAGTGATAGCTTTGCGGATTGTATAGTCGGAGTAACCATTAGCCCTAAGAGCTTGGTGTACGTGCTTGAGTTCACTGCTTATGTGTTCCTGGTCGGATATGCATTGGGCTCTATGATACAGAGTCTTGATGAGAGAATTCTTCTGTGATGGATGGTGGTGGGAATCCGGTTTCAGATAAGCATCCGTATGGGTAGCTTTCCTGTAGACAGAGTGGCTCATTGAACCATCAGGTCTCTTTTTAATTAGGACATCCAAAAAAGGTATCTTGCCATCTATTTCGACTTCCATGGTAAATCTGATGGCTGGGTGTATGGAATTGATGTGGTCGAAGAATTGGTCTAGAGCAAGCCGGCCATGTGGCCAGATGACAAAAGTGTCATCCACGTACCTCTTCCATAAGGTTGGGCGCAGAGTGGCAGTCTGGATGGCGTCAGTCTCAAATTTCTCCATGAAAATGTTAGCTATAACTGGAGAAAGGGGGGAGCCCATTGGGGTGCCCTCAGTTTGTTTGTAGAAAGTTCCATTCCAAGTGAAGTATGTATTGGTTAAACAGTGTCTCACCAGGGGGGGTACCTCAGTGTTTAGTCCTTGATGAACCAAGTCTTCAATGATTGCAATGGTGTCAGGTACAGGAACCTTGGTGAATAAGGAAACTACATCAAAACTGATAAGCAGGTCGTCTGGGGACAGGGAAATACCCTTGATTGTCGATACCAGGTGAGTCGAATTTTGTACCACAGAGGTGGTCTTTCCAGTGAAAGGACGCAGGATTTCAGACAAAAAACGAGCTAGTTTGTAGGTGGGGGAGCCGATAGTAGAGACTATGGGACGAAGGGGTGTATCTACTTTATGTATTTTTGGTAAGCCGTATAATCTTGGTGGCCTGGCAGCAGAAGGTTTCAACGAAAACTGTTTAGATTGATCAATTAATGCGGTTGAATCAGAAATTATTTTGTTGGTTTGTGTGACGAGGCTGTTGGTGGGATCTCTTTTTATTTTTGTATAACTACCATCGTCGAGTAATTCTTTAATTTTGTTGTTGTATTCTATTTTATCCATGATGACAGTAGCATTGCCTTTGTCAGCTGAGAGGACTACAATATCATTCCTCTTTTTTAATTTATATAATTCAAAACGCTCATCTTTGCTGAGGTTGCTAGCTGGCATCTTAGCGTTTTTGAGGGTTGCAGCGATTTCAGATCTTGCTACGTCTGCAGCGATGTGACCCAGGCCCCTGAGAGCAACGTCTACTTGGGCAATTATATCATTAACTGGTATGTGTTTAGGTGTGACTGCAAAGTTTAGACCTTTAGCTAAAACGGATTTCAGACTATCGGAAATAGAACTGTTACTGCGATTAATTACGACTTTGTTAACGTCTAACTATAAATGCACCGTTTAAAAATAAATTTATGCAAACCAACACACCTGAAGACGACCGTTTGAGTTATGTTCGAAACGTCGTGAGAATTTTTTATTGTTTTATATATATTTTATTATTTTGTTGTTTCCCTTCAACGTGACTTTACCGAAAAAAAAAACTAAGATTATAGTTTTAATATAGTTTAAACAAAGAATAACAACAAAAACTCAACCACTTCAAGAGAGACCTTAAACATAATGAACACCGTGTGACCAGACAACAATCCACATTAGAGATGCTGTTAGCTTGATTTTGCGTTTATTAAATGACTTTACATTACATTACTTCAAAATCAAGTCAGGAGTGCTAATCATTTCATACTATTTTTGTATGTACGTAGGGGTTATTTGACCATACTTCGATGCGGGTTGGTGAACGGGGGGGGGGCATAGATCAGGAGCATAGAAGGACAGGACAACAGTTCATTTTGCTGTACTGCGCTCTGCTGCCTGCCATTTTGGCGCAGAGCCTATACCACCTGTTATGCATATCCAGGCTCAACACGGTGGCGCTTCCACGGTCTGAGCTCCTTTTTAATGTTTATTTTAATTAACTTAATTAGAACTCAAGAGATCAGGACACGTATCATTTGCGAGAGTGACCTGGGTCACAGGGTGGCCTCTATATTGAAAACTAATTTCTTTAGAACTGCTTTTTGTATTTAGATTGTTGTCCTTTCCGCGCACCTCCGATTAGCATGGTTGGCTGTGTACGGTGCGAAATAAGTTCTACATGCATACATACCACAGTGACAAAATGCAAAACATAATAAAGTACAGCAATGAAGTTAATTGAAATTGGCACGAAAACAACTGTGGTTTATGAAAAGTCGACAATATTGCACAAACATAAACAAGTGTTAGATATTAAATCGCATGTAGTGCAAGTTGGCTTGGGCAGATTATTTATAGGCTGATCATTGCACAGTTATACTTATTAAAACGTTACGTAAACATTAAACACATATAGGGTGACTGATGTGCTAAGCAGGTAAGAGAAAATGTCAATCAGTGAAATCATAAAGAATCGAGAGATTAAGCATCAAATTGTGAATTAGATGGGAGGGTAACCTTTGTTGTAGATAATATTGGTCGCAAAAGCTTACGCGTTTTTTTTAAACGTGTGGTATCTGATGGGCGTGTTCCGGTTGATTCTATCAATCGCCAGAACTGTTTTAACTTATAAATATTTACGGAGGACTCCTCACTGTGATCTTTTGTCATTTTAACAAAGCGTCAGTCTCATTATTGACATTGATGAGACACAGCATGAAACCACATCCGCAGGTTAAGCGCTATTGTTTTGGATTGCTCCTTCCCCTTCAAGCCAAATTGTATTGTGTTATGCAGTGAGTTGGTTAAAAAAAATAGTTATTTCATTATTTCAGTGTGTGAGAGAGACGCTACTGTGGTGAGTGCTCATTTGAGTTTGCGTTGTCATCTCCCGGTGCTATCCCAGCTGCTGCTGCTGTCGTCGCTCTTGCTTAGATTACGCAACACGATGTTTGTCCTTTGTTTTGGTCTCCAGCTGAAAGCCGAAAGTGGGAAGATGCGTCGGCCCACTGGCAAAGTGGTCGGCATCATCAAGCGGAACTCGAGGCCGCTGTGCGGCATGCTCATGCCCAGCCCAATCAAGGAGGTGGGCTGATCTGCATGTGTGTGTGTACGTGTGGGGAGCGGTAATGTAGCGGTTAGCGCGCTGCGCTACGAATCCTGGGACCCGAGTTGGATTATATTTATCGCTCATAACCAATAAACAGCGCCAAATGTCTGAACCTGTCTTGGGCCCTTCCCTAGGTCGACTCGGCCATAAATGAGTCTCTGATGTGGCATGTAAACATCAGCGCTGTGGAGACAAAGGCGGTCGGGCATGGTGCTGGCCGTACCCACCCCGTCGTTTGCCGTACCAGCTTGAATAGGTGTGTGCTGACGGCACTTGCCCAAACAGTTTGTTGAATGCCTTACTGGGGGCTCTTTGGGCGTGTTGCAGGCCACCCGCCACCTGTTCACGCCCGCGGACCGCCGCATGCCACGAGTGCGGGTGGAGACAAGACAAGCAGCGTCCCTGCAGGCCCACCGCATCGTGGTGGCCATCGGTGGCTGGCTGCGACACTCCCGCTACCCGAACGTACGACTGCACCGTGACGCCCCGGACGCCGTGACACCTCACCCGTCTGTCCCGTGGTCGGCATCGTCGGGCTCATCCTTCTGTCACTTGACGCGCGGCCACGCGGCTCTGTATGCAATACAGCCGTCGAACCCAAAACACGAACGGTGACACGGTGAATTGGAAGTCAGGGTGGATGAAGTGGCACCACTGTGATATTTTTTTGTTTGAAAGCATGGCAAACTCACCTGTGATTCAACCTAGGTTATTAAGGTGTTGTAAGTTGATAGTCTCAGCCCAGTCACCAATAACTGCACCAAAAACGATATTAAATTTGGTCGTGCACTTCGATTGTTTGATTTCCATCTCTGAGAAAACTACTGCGTTTGACTGCCATGTGATGAACATTACTTTGATTGGCAGAGTGGTTGGAAAAGCACTGCCCCCCTACAATTTGGACTGCATTTCACTTCAATGGATCTTAGAAGTAGCTCTGTTATGTCTGCTCCTGTGGGTCGTCCTTGACCACGAAGGGTTTGTATAGATTGCTTGTCTTGTGCGATACCATTAACACAATGAGAAACAAAATTGGTGAAAAGTTAAATATATTGTTAAGATGTATTCTTTGGGTTGTATCTTTGTTTAAACAGATGTCGGTTAATATTCTACATAATGTACGTTAGGTACAAGGTTGGCATTGTGGTTGTGCTTTTCATACCTATTTGCCACTGCACAACCGAGCGACACCATGGCTGGCACGGTTTAGTAGGCTGCAGGTTGTTTATCCACTGCAAAAGCGGATCCATGCCATGGACGGTCAATGCTTTGAACAAGGCTAGGCACGTGCAGATGACGCTGTGGTGCCACGTCCCCGCGGTGTACTGACTGCCGTCACACAATTAACGTGTCGCTAGCCCCGCCCCTGGCCCTGCTCGGCCCCCGGATATATTTGGATGCCTTGTGGGGCCAGCATACTACGGTTTGGTTCTGGTTCGACACGGCAAAAAGCCAGTGGGTGACCACAGACACTTCGAGAGATCTGCACTGTCTGGGTTCCAATGTACCAGTGGAAAAGGGATACCGGTGACGATTGGCCACGTATGTGCATATGCATGTTGAACTTCTTCCGTACCATACGTAGACAACCGTGCTAATCGTCGGTGTGCTTGTGCAGGGCCATTTTGTGCGCTCTCTGGGCGAATGTGGGGATAAGGAGACGGAGACGGAGGTGCTGCTGCTGGAGCACGACGTGCCACACCAGCCCTTCAGCCAGGCCGTACTTGCATGCCTGCCCCCTCCCACGTTCAGCATCACAGCAGAGGTACGCATGAGACGTGTGACGATATGTCAATTCATCGATTGAGTTCAATTCTTACGCCTGCGGTGTGTTGGTGTGTTCGGTCGTGCATGTGAGAATCCTTTACTTCAATGTTCTTTATTACAAGGCCCACGGGCCACTGGTGGCCCCTGGGTGGCCTTTGGTGTGGCCCATGACGTGTGGCCCCCGACGTATAGGCCCCCGACAATAGACAAATGCGAAAACACCCCCCATCATCATCATCGTGCTGTCAAACCGCAATAGTTTCAAGATGTTTGGCCTGCGTAGAATACCTTCTAGAGGACCTCTCTGGAGCTCTCCCTCCAGTCGAGGTCCTTCCGCTGCACTGGCATGAACGAGAAGCCACGGGGCTCTACACCTTTACCGCAGACCGTATATAGAAAAGCCGTCGACCTGAAAGAAAGTCGATGGCTCGGACACATCATCGTAAGAAGAGAGGAAATTCACATCGGAGGAATGAAGGCGATGGACTTATGGAAGCACCAGGGCGGAGACCCGAGAGGCAGGCCTCGAGAGATGCGGATCAAAGTGGTGAGCCAGGATATGGAGGACTTTGCAGTAGCCGTGGAGATGGTCCAGTACATAAATGAATGGAGCAAGGGGACTACAGACTTTTTTCCTATAACGCTGTACTTGCGTTCCTGAAGAACACCGAATTGTGGAAAAATCGCATAATAAATAATATAGGGTAAAGCACAGTCCGCGATAACACGTGAGATGCGTACGCAGGCTTAACAAAGACTTCGGGTACGTGAGTAGCATCTAGAAGCATCCAGAAACATCCCGCCTTGTGTGATGCTACACCGAGGCAACCGTACAACCGCTTATTCTGCCTCGCACAACGCAGTTCTGTTCACTCGATCGCCTTTTATCCAATTCGCATCCATGTTATGAAAAAATGTGTTCCCTAATGCATTCATCGCATTATATCTAATTCACGATATGAAAACACGCAGAGTTATAGGAGAACGGACTGTACTTTCAGAATATTCAGTCGCCTATTGAGAAGATAGAACGCCATTAGAATGAAGTTGGTTTACCCATGTATGGCTCACCCTGTGTTTTGTTTGTTGTAAGGCAGCGTTTTGTTGAACCTGGTGCTGTGTGTGTCCCGTACAAGGACCAGGCTGGCAGGGAGGACCTTCGTGCGTTGTCCATCTGCAGTGTGGATCCTCCAGGCTGCACAGACATCGACGATGCCCTACACTGCAAACCGCTCGACAATGGGAACACCGAGGTATTCATTTGGTGGTGGTAATCGTGGTCACGGTCGCGGTAATTCGTGCCTATTCCTTTCATGGTTTTGTCAATGCTAGCGGAGGTTACAAGGGGAGTTTAAGTGGCACAATGATAAGTGCACTGCACATTCATCCTGTCAAGCTGGTTTAGTTCCAGTCATGGCTAACACCGGTACAGAGTGATATCTAAAAAAAACTGCCCAAGTTCTCCCCTTCACCACCTGCATTGACCATCGTAACAAAGCAAGGTCAAATGACAATCGCAACCCATTACGGCATGGAGAAGCCCTCATCCTGCAGTGGATTGACAAAGGGGTGGACAATATTCCTGTTATTAAGTTTCCAAACATTGTTGCCTTAGTGCCCGTATTCTTGGTCTCTGCTCGGCTCAGGACTGACTTCAACATGGCTTGGTTCTGGCTTGATCTGCTCCGTTGCCTCCAAAGAAGTATGAGTGGCTCAGCTGTGCCTTGGCTCAGGCTCAGCTCACGGAAATTCTGAGCGTGGCTGGGAGCATGCAGAGATATACGTGGAGGCACAAGGGACACGGAGGCTCAGGGCTGGAACCATGCTTAGAGGCAGCTTGGGTTTTAAGCGTTGCTTTGATGTGGCTTATTGAGAATTAGAATCAGAATATTTATACTGGAGGAATCCAATGAGCTATAAAGCTATTTTTCACATGTCCAGTAGAGGCGGGTAAGAACGTTACAACAGCAAACAGTACAAAAACATAATAGTAGTGCAAAGTACAAGAAAGATCAACAAATAACCCAAACACAAACAAATACAACTAAACCATCCCCATCTTACCAGGAAAAGCCCACTGAGGTATTGATTTATTTTTGATTAGTGACCTGGCCACAACTGAATAGCTCAACAAAGTGGCCCATCATTTGGACATTTATAGCAGCCAAAATAATAGAAATAATCTCAATGCATGTTGCGCGAGAGCCAAGCCTGAGCCAAGCCATGGCTAAGACCCCACTGGCCTAAGTGTCCACGTCACTGGCCGAATGCCTGGTTCACAATGAATGCACCAGGTAGTAATGGGTGTGCATTTCATTTCACATTATTGTGCTTTGGTTGGAGTGGCTATGGTGGAGGTTATGCATGCATGTGGAGTGAGCGACTTCCGCCAGACGTCTAGTAGAAGGCGTCTTATTTATTAAAAGCACACAGGGCGATACACTTCGTAACGCGGCTACACCTAGGCTGTACAAACACGCAGCCCATTTGCGTCCTGCGTAGCTACGCTGGCTGGTTGACGAGCGTAGCGGCGGAGACAGAGCTGCTCTTGCAGAAGAACCAGCCACGTGGTCGGAGACGAAGAGATGACGACCGTAGCGACGCAACCAGGACCCAGACCCCACGCTAACAGCCCCGAAGTTCTGATTCGGTGCTCTTTATATCTGCCTGGAGTGGCCAAGCTCCACCTCTGGCCACGCCCCCTTTCTAGAACCTTCTAGGCCCTTCGGGATGGTTCCCGGAGCTTCTCGACTGACTCCGCCGTTGACCTTTACCCCAGATACGCCCCTTCATAATAAGGCATTATGTAATGCAGCTATAACCTTAATTACCCTTACAGGCCGGCAGGTATCACCCTGTCATTACACATCCATGCATGTGAGGGTGGTGACGGTGTGTTAATGTGTGTTCTAGGTTGGGGTACACATCGCCGATGTGAGCTATTTTATCCGGCCGGGGAATGCCTTGGATGAGGAGGCATCTCTGCGTGGTACCACAGTTTACCTGTGTGAGAAGGTGAGATGTGGATTTCTTCTTGCCACAATATCAAGTGTTTTACGACCCGCCGATTTCATCCTTTCATTCTTAACTTTACGACATGATGTAAAATATTACGATGTAACGATCATCGCGGTACCAGTTTCCCCACAACTTTGTAATTGTATTTGACATTTTCACCACATTTTTTGCGTGCTTTTCAGTACTTCCCGTATGAATAACGATAACTTAAAAATGAATTAGAATTTAAAAAAATGTGCAACAACAATGCTAAATATCTCTCATGATGTTTTAAACGAGGTGATTTTTGTGGATTTCTTATAATATGATGTACCGTGACATCATGAGCGGCAGGCTATCGGCGCAGTGGTAACACTCGTGCCTTGCAGCAAGGAGACGCTGGGTTTGATTACTCAACTCTTGTGCCTTTTTGCTTGCAGCTTTGTTTGTTCTCCCCCCTGTTAGTGAATGGGTTTCCTCTGGATTCATCAGATTTCCTCTAAATAAAACCCATACAATCTTAACTGGCATTCGCGAAAACATCCCCTTGCTGAACAGTTACCTGCAGGTGACTTAATCATGTGTGGGTTTGCTTGCAAAACACTCGTTGAGTTGGTGCATATGTATTTGCCAGATTGTGTTTATTGACAGAGAAGTTGTTGCGTTTATGTGTTTGTGCGCCTGCAGAGGATTGATATGGTGCCAGAGTTATTGAGCTCAAACCTGTGTTCCTTGAGATCCAACGTCGACCGGTGAGATGCACCAACAACTGTGAACTCGCGAGTGTGCACATTGCAACCCATACTCAGCAGCTAACGTGCGTTGTTGCCAGGTGCACATGTAATCCCATGATGCGTGGCACTGTTTAAGTGTCATTGTACAGATCCACACAAGCATGTGTACATACATAAGCAGCCAAACCAGGATGGCACAATGGTAACACATGTCTCACAGCAAGAATGGCCTAAGATTGATGCCCGACTTGGTTGCCTTTCCATGTAGATTTTGTATGTTCTCCCCCTATTTAGCATGGGTTGACTCCAGGTTATCAGGTTTCCTCTCATCGCTAACATAAACGTGTTATTACTACTATGATCCTTAACCATGGAAAGCCTCACTGAATCTCATAACTTCGGGAGGGTACTGCAAAGCTTTTGCAGTCGAACAATGGTTGCTACATATATATTCCAGTTGAGTAATTTGTAACAACCCAAACCGGTATTTGGCCAAACATCCCGCTGCTGAAAGAATGACTCGACTACCAAAAACTTGGCAAGACCCTCCTGAAAAAGAGTCTCGAGACTTTGCGAGGCTTTCCTGAGTGAACACCCTGCACCACTCCAATGTCGACGACTCTGCCACTCGACGGTGAATGGCGACGGTGCATGTGCTGTGCGCGTGCAGGCTGGCGTTCTCGTGCATATGGGAGATGACTCCAAAGGCTGAGATTGTGAGCACACGTTTTACCAAGAGCATCATCAATTCCAAGGTGATTCCCCCCCCCCCCCCCACAGACGTTCAGTTTTTGTAAAACTCTCGTTTGCTTTCACGTGTATTGTATCGGTGCCTTGCTATGTTAGTGCAGTTGAGGTTTCCGGATGGCTGAGAGGTCAGAGCGTTGAGCTTGCACCTCTGAGTTCACAAGTGTAGCGAGATGAAACGGGTTCACAAGTGGTAGTATGTATGTTGAACTTCTTTCGCACCGTACGTAGCCAACTGTGCTAATCGGAGGTGCGAGGTAGGACATGAAAGTAGTGAGTTGATGGTCTCTGTCCAGTCAACAATCACTGCACAAAACACAGGTTTGTTTTTTTAGGTTAGATCGTGTAAATATGTAAATGTGTCATTAAACCCACCCCCACCCGACACAGCCAACTAATAAGGGTTGTCACGTAAACAGAACATGCCAATTCGTCACGAGTACAGCACACCGGTGTGTTGTACCAGTGACGAATTGGCCACGTTCTGTTTATGTGACAACCCTTACTAGTCGGCTGTGTCGGGTGGTGGCGGGTTTAACGACACATTTATGTATTTACACAATCTAACCCAAACAACCTGTATTATGGATGATATTGGTCACGAAAGCCTACGTGTTAAACTCACTGCACGAAAGACCACCAAATTACATTGCACTAAATTTGGTTAAATTCCAGCTTTGAGAATTAAAAAAATATATCAATTTTACTTTCTTTGGGTGAGCGTAACCCTCAGTGGTCATCGGGAGCCACGTAGACATCTGTTGAGTTCTGGCTTGGGCTTGGATCAGGCGTGGGCATTGTGTAATTGCGAGGACCCCATGGTTCACCCGTGGTGTGTTCATCGTATCCCCGCAGGCGTCTCTGACGTACGCAGAGGCTCAGCTAATGATGGACGACGCTGGGCGGAAGGATCCGGTCACCAGCAGCTTGCGTGGCCTCAACTCCCTGGCCAAGATCCTCAAGCAGAGGCGCATTCAAAACGGGTAACTCATTGTCAAGATCCTCATCCCCTCCACCGCCACTGGAGCGATGAGCCGTATTAATGTGTGCACCGCATTTAGTCGATCGGCAGGTCGCCTGTGGCGCGGTAAAGTGTGGTTACTCCCGTGTCTTCTAAGACATCCGGCCAGCGTGGAAGAGTAGGCTAAAATACATTGAGAGGGACTGTAAAAGGGTGTATCCCTAGAGGGGCCGCCTCTTATGGGAGCCCCCTTCTTCCAGCAGTGGCTTGAGCAAGCAATTGCAAGGCTGCACCTGTTGCTTTTTTGACCCCATGATGCATGAGGCTTGGGTGAATATCATGCACAAACAAGTGTTACAGGATTCATACTCTGGTTTTTTTCGGTAAAGTCACGTAGGTAAAACTATAAAATAAAATAACAACTAAATTAAATCACGACGTTTCGGGCGCAACACAAGCGTCCTTCTTCAGGTGGGACAACCACAGCCAGAAACAATTGCTGAAGTGGGCAAAAAAGGGCTGTTGTAACAAGAGGCTATATAGGTAAGAGAGTGGGGGGGAGCAAGGGGGGAGAGATAGAGATGGGGGGTGTGGGGTAGGGGAAGTGGGGTGCTGCTAGAGGGATTAAAGGGGCGAGCACGGCAAAATGCCGGGGGGGGGGGGGAAGTGAGTGGGGCTGGGAGTGGGAGGCTGAAGAAGCTGGAGATGCGGAAATGAAGGCAACAATAAAGAAGTTAAGGTTTTACCTGGTTAATAACATCCTTCTAGATTGGAGTGTTACAGGCTGCTGCGGGGCTACATTGTGGGCAATAGAGGACAATGCAGTGACATAAATTGTTTTACTCTTCTTAATGCTCCCATGTCTGTGCTCCCCCACCTTTGCCAACGCGTACTGACCACCACGGTTAAGTACGGTAAAACCACCCCACGACCCGTATGACATGGGGCGGCCCTCATCCAGCAGTGGATTGACTTAACGAGCTGTGCATGTTCAACTCAAATATCTGAGTTTGTGAAGTGTCTTATATTAAGATTCTGTGTTGTTTTGGCTGGACATGATAATCGCTCATGTCCCTTCTCCACCCGTAGGGCATTGACTCTGGCATCCCCTGAGGTCCGATTCCACATGGACAGCGAAACCCACGACCCGATCGACCTGCAGACCAAGGAACTCAAGTGAGTCTCGTCAACAAGACACCTCCCATGACTGCGATCCGACTGTTGTGCAGATCTCTCTATCAGAATCAAAATATATATTTCTACTGGAAGAATCCGATGAGCTATAAAGCTCTTTTTTCACAGATGTCCAGTTGGGGCAGGTCACAACGTTACAACAACAAACAATACAAGCACACGTTAGGATTGCAAAGTATTGGAAAGGTAAACAAATAACTTAAACAAATATACAAATAAAACTAAACTATTTTTATCTTACCAAGTAAAACCCTGACCACAAATGATAGCTGAACAAAGTGGCTTATCACGTGGGAAATTTATTATCAGCAAAATAATCTAAGATAAAGAATCTTGACCCTTGTGGTTGATGTGTTGTGGTGGCGGAAACTGGTGCGTGTACACAGGGAGACCAACTCGATGGTGGAGGAGTTCATGTTGCTCGCCAACATCTCCGTGGCGGAGCGCATCGTAGGCGAATTCCCCGAGTGTGCGCTGCTCCGACGCCACCCGGCGCCTCCGCCTTCCAACTACGACATCTTGGTGAAGGCGGCGAAATCAAAGGTAGAGTTAGAACCCCTTTTAACGACCACCCTTGTTAACTAATCGCTTAACAACGGGCCTCCATAGAGCTCAATGTGTAGGCTTAACCGACCATTTCCCTGTTAACGACGGGCTCTTGTAGGTACAGTAAATATGAATTAATGCCACGTAGAAGGAAAACAATAAAATAAATATAAAACAATAAAATTATCACGACGTTTCGACTGCAACACAAGCAATCATCATCAGGTGTGAAAACCACAACAAGAAAATTTGAAAAAAGTGGCAGTTATTTTTAACGTTAGCACCACGGAGAGAGATTTGACAGTTTGTTCAGATGGACGAGTCCATCTATGTTCGGAAAAGAGGAGGGGGGAGACAAAAAATAATGGATGCGTTCTGACAGCCACCTTAAGCGTGATCAATCAATTAAGACCCGAAATGGCTTATCAAATCTCTCTCCGTGGTGCTAACGTTAAAATAACCGCCACTTTTTTCAAATTTTCTTGTTGTGGTTTTCACACCTGATGATGATTGCTTGTGTTGCAGTCGAAACGTCGTGAGAATTTTATTGTTGTATATTTTTATTATTTTATTGTTTCCCTTCTACGTGAATTTACCGAAAGAACCAAGAATATGAATCCCTGCAGTCACGAAAGTTTTAAATCAAAATGAATTCATGCATTTATTAACAGTGTTTATTTTAATATGATGTGTTTATAATGTTAGTATCTTTATGTATTAATATCCATTGTTTAAATATTATAAAGTACGTTTTTTGGGTGAACAAGGGAAACTTTCGATGCTATCGGAACGAATTAAGCTTTTAACACGTATTTCCTATACTCGCTTAATGACCAAATCCTTTAATGCTCGTGTTCGTGGAACCAATTACCGTCTTTAAGAGGGGTTCTACTGTCTCTAGATTGCTGTTAACCTTCCTTCAATATCATCCTCCTCGCAAGGAATTCAGAGGTCGTCGGGTGGCTCAAATTTTTGTTTGAGGTCTTTTGGTTTAACCGGGTGAGAACTCAAGAGAACATAATAGTCTCATTTGCAAGGGTCACCTGGGTCACCCTATGACCCAGAGATTACAGCTGGGACCCTGGCTTCAAAATCCAGCAGCCACATTGAACATACTGTGTTATCAAGTGTAGGGAGTTGAAGGACTCGGCTCGTTTCCCAGCTACTCCACAGAAATAAGCAACAAAAAACCATCACGATAAATGTAGTACTGTATTTAATTTTAGATAAATTCCAGCACTGAAATGTTGAAATATCAGGTCGACTTATTGTGATGAACATTATGCTCAAAATGGGTGGGAATGTGCTACCCCCTACTGTGAAGCAGAGGTGTCTTGAAACGATGTCAGTATTGGCCTGAGCGAGCAATTGCAGGGCTGCACCTTTTACCTTTATCTTGAGATGTAGCCGTATAGTTTCCACTCGCCCTTAGAGGCAGAACAACTCAAAAGGTGTGACGAACCACAGACAACGCTGGAAGGCAGCCAGGCACTGTGCCAGATGTAGATTAATCCACTTGCTGTACTGCCTTCTCCTGGCAAGCCAGGTTATGGAAACCTGAATGCCCACAGGAAGTGCGCTGAATAACGTTTTCTTTCCAATACACCACAACCCTTGCTGCTTCCCCAGCACTGAACTACAAGCCACGTGCGGGATAGTCACCTCACAAACGCCGGTGTGCCCGATTTTTTTGCGCAGAACATCGAGATCCAGGTGGACTCGGCTAAGGCGTTGGCCGAGTCCCTGGACCGGGCGGCGGTGCCGGGAGCGCCACCATACCTCAACACTCTGCTGCGCATCCTGGCCACGCGCTGCATGATGCAGGCCATCTACTTCTGCTCCGGCATGGAGCCCGACACCCACCACTACGGGCTCGCCACCGCCATCTACACCCACTTCACGTCGCCCATTCGACGGTGACGTGCTCTGGCGTCAGGCACACGCGTGAAATCGACCTTCGCGATTATTGAGGGGACTATGTTGTTGTCTTGGTGTGGTCTGGGACTGTGCTGCCTTTCCCAAGTTTAGGAATTTATTTATTAATTGATGTACTTATGCAATGTTAACTTGTGATTACGGCACACCTCCAATTAGCACGGTTGGCTACGTACGGTGCGAATTAAGTTTAACATACAACTTGTATATCTTTTTTCTATTATTTACTTTTACTGATTTGTTTACCTTTCCTATTCTTAGCACTCCTATCATATACCTACTGGACATCTGTCAAAACGAGCTTTTATCGCGAATCGGATTTCTCCAGGATAAAGATTCAGATTTTGAGTTATTTTTCTAAAAGGTCCTATAAACGGGAAGTTTGGCCAATTCCTTAAATGGTTGTTTGGCTTGTGTTGGGAGAAAAACTAGAGGATCCGGAGAACACCAACGCCTACAAGGAGGGTGACAGTGTTCCACGTGCAGAATCAAGAATCCATTGCCGTGTTGCAGCGGCGGCCAAAAGTGAAATTGCAATTCTGCCATGGATCGCTAACGATTTTGTTGTGGATCTTAAATAAGAACACAGATATGAGCAGGCAGCAATTTGCGCTACATCTGTTGACAAATAAAAAATCCTCAACAAAGAATTAAATTCATACATTAACAAAGATAATTTCCACCAGCAGATGGTGCTAGAACGTGGTATGTCCAGAGTACAGTATTCTATCACAGCGTTAAATCCATCTGAGTCATTGTTTGCGTAGCTTTCTGGTGGATCGTGAAACCCGCTGAGATCCACCAGAATGAATCGCGGTGCTTGGTGGATTAATACCGCTGCTCCGTTGGCATCTCGTGGCCATACCGCAGCCTGTATCTACTGTAAATTTAATCTTCATATTAAATAGAGGCTACAACAAATGTGAATATTGTTGTTGTTGTCTCCCTGTACCGTTACAGATACTCGGATGTGATTGTGCACCGGCTGCTGGCCGTGTGCGTGGGCGCCGACCCCACGTACCCGGCGCTCACCGACAAGCAGAAGCAGCAGCAGCTCTGCAACAACCTCAACTACCGCCACAAGATGGCGCAGTACGCCCAACGCTCGTCTGTAGCTTTCCACACGCAGGTGGGAGGCGGAAGTGTGGGCCACGTGGAGCTTGCACGGCGTGTGCTTAGGCACCTGATAATGCGTCCATTCGTCTCTTGAAAACCATTTTTAAGGTCACGAAAGCAGGCATCGTATTGTGCGTGTAGTAAGAATCAATTGTTTTCTATTCGCACGCTTACGTGTGGTGGTGCCGTGGCTGTACTGGTTGGCTACACTTGACATTGCTTTTCAGCATTCTTCTGTGTTTGCTGAAAAACCTAGTCACTTGGCACATTTGCCCATGATGTGACAACTTTATTTGATTGGCTCTGTCAGGTGATGGAGGATTATAGTCAATACAATTGACATTGTACCTTCACGATTGAACTCAAAATAATCCCCATGACATGATCCTCGCATCTCGCCTCGTCCTCCTCACCCCTCGTTCTCACCCCTCGCCTCGTCCTCCTCACCCCTCACCTCGTCCTCACCCCTCACCTCGTCCTTCTCACCCCTCACCTCGTCCTTCTCATCCCTCAGCTCGTATTCCTCACCCCTCACCTCGCCCTCACTTCGTCCTCATCCCTCACCTCGTCCTCGCCTCGTCCTCACCCCTTGCCTCGTCATCTTTACCCCTTAGCTCATCCTCCTCACCCTCACCTCGTCCTTCTCTAACCCCTCGCTCTCCTCACCTCGTCCTCACCCATCGCCTCGTCCTCCTCAACCCTCGTTCTCACCCCTCGCCTCCTCCTCACCCCTCACCTCGTCCTCACCCCTCACTTCGTCCTCCTCACCCCTCACCTCGTCCTCAACCATCACCTCGTCCTCCTCAGCTCGTCCTCTTCACCCCTCGTCCTCCTCACCCCTCACCTCGTTCTCCTCACCCCTCAGCTTGTCTTCCTCACCTCGTCCTCACCCCTCACGTCGTCCGATTGACCTTTCACCTCGTCCACACCCCTAACCTCATCCTCACCCATCACCTCGTCTTCCTCACCCCTCACCTCATCCGCTTTACCCCTCAGCTCATCCTCCTCACGCCTGAGCTCGTCCTCCTCACCCCTCGTCCTCCTCACCCCTCAGCTCGTCTTCCTCACCCCTCACCTCGTCCTCCTCACCCCTCGACTCGTCCTCCTCACCCCTCGTCCTCCTCACCCCTCAGCTCGTCTTCCTCACCCCTCACCTCGTCCTCCTCACCCCTCGACTCGTCCTCCTCACCCCTCGTCCTCCTCACCCCTCACCCCTCGTCCTCCTCACCCCTCGCCTCATCTTTCTCACCCATCGTCCTCCTCACCCCTCGTCCGCCTCACCTTTTACCTCGTCCTCCTCACCCCTCGACTCGTCCTCTCACCTCAGCTCGTCCTCCTCACCCTTAGCTCGTCCTCACTCCTCGTCCTCCCCTCCCCTCGCTGTCCTCACCATTTGCCTCGTCCTCCTCACCCCACACCTCGTTCTTCTTGCCCCTCATCTTGTCCTCCTCACCACTCGACTTGTCCTACTCACCCCTCACCTCACCCTCCTCACCCCTCGTCACCCCTCGTCCTCCTCACCCATCGTCCTCCTCACACATCGTCCTCCTCACCGCTCGTTCTCCTCACCCCTCGTTCTCCTCACCCCTCAGCTCGTCTTCCTCACCCCTCACCTCACCTCGTCCACCGCACCCCGCGCCTCGTCATCCTCACGCCTCGCCCACCTCACCCCTCACCTCGTCTTTCTCACCCACACCGCGTTCTTCTTACCCCTCACCTCTTCCTCCTCACCCCTCGACTCGTCCTTCGCACCCCTCACCTCCTCACCCCTCGTCCTCCTCACCCCTCGCTCTCCTCACCCCTCGCTCTCCTCAACCCTCGTCCTCACCTCGTTTTTCTTCTCACCCCCCGTCCTCACCCCTCGCTCGTCCACCGCACCCTGCTCCTCACCTCCTCATCCCTCGTCCTCCTCACCCCTCGCTGTCCTCACCCCTCGTCCTCCTCACCCCTCGTCCTCGTCACCCCCACACCTCGTTCTTCTTACTTCTCACCCCCCGTCCTCCTCACTTCTCGTCCTCCTCACCCCTCGCTCGTCCACCGCACCCTGCTCCTCATCCTCCTCACCCCTCACCTCGTCCTCCTTACCCCTCACGTCGTCCGCTTGACCCCTCACCTCGTCCTCTTGACCCCTCACCTCGTTCTCACCCCTCACTTCGTCCACCTCACCCCCACAGCTCGTTCTTCTTACTCCTCATCCCTCACTCTCCTCACCCCTCGTCCTCCTCACTCTCGTCATCGTCACCCCTCGTTGTCCTCACCCCTCGTCCTCCTCACCCCTCGTCGCCCTCACCCCTCGTCCTCCTCACCCCTCGTCCTCCTCACCCCTCGCCTCATCTTCCTCACCCATCGTCCGCCTCACCTTTCACCTCGTCCTCACCTCTCACCTCAGCTCGTCCTCCTCACCCGTCATCCTGACCGCTCACCTCGTCCTCCTCACCCCTCACTCTCCTCACCCCTCATCCTCCTCACTCTCGTCATCGTCACCCCTCGTCCTCACCCCTCGTCCTCCTCACCCCTCGCCTCATCTTCCTCACCCATCGTCCGCCTCACCTTTCACCTCGTCCTCCTCACCCCTCGACTCGTCCTCACCTCTCACCTCAGCTCGTCCTCCTCACCCGTCGTCGTCCTCACCGCTCACCTCGTCCTCCTCACCCCTCACCTCTCCCTCGCCTCGTCCTCCTCACCCTTAGCTCGTCCTCACTCCTCGTCCTCCCCTCCCCTCGCTGTCCTCACCATTTGCCTCGTCCTCCTCACCCCACACCTCGTTCTTCTTACCCCTCATCTTGTCCTCCTCACCACTCGACTCGTCCTACTCACCCCTCACCTCACCCTCCTCACCCCTCGTCCTCCTCACCCATTGTCCTCCTCACCCATTGTCCTCACCCATTGTCCTCCTCACCCATTGTCCTCCTCACCCATTGTCCTCCTCACCGCTCGTTCTCCTCACCCCTCGTTCTCCTCACCCCTCGTTCTCCTCACCCCTCAGCTTGTCTTCCTCACCCCTCACCTCGTCCACCGCACCCCGCGCCTCGTCATCCTCACGCCTCGCCCGCCTCACCCCTCACCTCGTCCTTCTCACCCACACCGCGTTCTTCTTACCCTTCACCTCTTCCTCCTCACCCCTCGACTCGTCCTCCGCACCCCTCACCTCCTCACCCCTCGTCCTCCTCACCCCTCGTCCTCCTCACCCCTCGCTGTCTTCACCGCTCGCTCTCCTCACCCCTCGCTCTCCTCACGCCTCGCTCTCCTCAGCCCTCACCTCGTCCTCCTCACCCCTCGCTCTCCTCACCCCTCGTCCCCCTCACCCCCACACCTCGTTCTTCTTACTTCTCACCCCCCGTCCTCCTCACCCCTCGTCCTCCTCACCCCTCGCTCGTCCACCGCACCCTGCTCCTCATCCTCCTCACCCCTCCCCTCGTCCTCCTTACCCCTCACGTCGTCCGCTTGACCCCTCACCTCGTCCTCTTGACCCCTCACCTCGTTCTCACCCCTCACCTCGTCCACCTAACTTGTCCTCAACCCTCACCTCGTTCTCACCCCTCACCTCGTCCTCCTCACCCCTACAGCTCGTTCTTCTTACTCCTCACCCCTCACTCTCCTCACCCCTCGTCCTCCTCACCCCTCGTCCTCCTCACTCCCGTCCTCACCCCTCGTCCTCCTCACCCCTCGTCCTCCTCACCCCTCGTCTTCCTCACCCCTCGTCCTCCTCACCCCTCGTTCTCCTCACTCCTCGTTCTCTTCACTCGTTCTCCTCACCCCTCGTTCTCCTCACCCCTCTCCTCGTCCTCCTCACACCTCATCTCGTCCTCCTCACCCCTCACCTCCTGACCTCGTTCTTCTTACCCTTCACCTCGTCCTGACCCCTTGCCTCGTCCTCCTCACCCGCTCCTGACACGGCCAACGCACACGCCCATGGCAACCTCACTTAGGGCACGGCACACCGACTTAGCATCACCCTCATTTATACCTCCACGTTTATCGGCCTCGTTCTATCGTGACGGCCAAGACGCTGGACGTTTGTGATAAAGAACTTCGTAGCTCATCGGATTCCTCCTCCAGTGTACAAATAAATAAATATCACGGCTCTGATCTCTTTGCGGCGCCGCAGTGGCGTTCATCACTCGCCGCCTCCCCATGGCACGACTACGACGCCCTCTGTTGGACGCTGTGTGTCATCAACATTGTTGCCTGTGATTACACTCAACACAACGTTGTTGTAAGTGATTACACTCAACACGTCGTTGTTAGTGATTACACTAAACACAACGTTGTTGTTGTAAGTGATTACACTCAACACAACATTGTTGTTGTAAGTGATTACACTCAACACAACGTTGTTGTAAGTGATTACACTAAACACAACGTCGTTGTTAGTGATTACACTAAACACAACGTCGTTGTTAGTGATTACACTAAACACAACGTCGTTGTTAGTGATTACACTAAACACAACGTCGTTGTGTGTGATTACACTAAACACAACGTCGTTGTGTGTGATTACACTCAACACAACGTCGTTGTGTGTAATTACACTCAACACAACGTCGTTGTGAGTGATTACACTCAACACAACGTCGTTGTGAGTGATTACACTCAACACAACGTCGTTGTGAGTGATTACACTCAACACAACGTCGTTGTGAGTGATTACACTCAACACAACGTTGTTGTTTGTGATTACACTCAACACGTCGTTGCGTGTCATCAATATTTTTGTGTGTGATTACACACACAACAACGTTGTGTTTAATCACACAACAATGTTGAGTGTAATCACTCACATATTGAGTGATTACACACTCGGCGTGTGTCTGTAGCAGTTGTACGTGTGCCGCTTGTCGTAGATGTTCGCGGTTTGAATCCAGCGGCCGCCCTGTTTAATGCTACAGGCGTGTTCACCGCAAAGACACCATGTGCCGTCTGCTTCAGTGGACGTTGAAGATCCCAGCGTCATGGACCAGATTAACCGAATTAAATACAATTGCCCGCAAATTACCCAGTTGGAATATACTGTGCCTAGTAATCATTGCTGGGAAATGTGGTAGAACCCTCCTGAAAAGAGCCAGTAGGGCTATCCTGGGTAAAACTGACCACCCACCCCCTCGTGTGGCATGCTAGCCTTAATAGGTGCTCGCTAACAGCACTTATTTATCGAACAGACTGTTAAATGAAGGGACTGTGTCTTCATTTGAGTCCGTGACTGTGTAACCTGGTACATAAGGGTGCCGCGGTGGTGGGATGTTAACTCCTTCACCTGGTATGCAAGAGGTCGTGGGTTCGATCCGGACCCTGACGCCTGTATATTTGGAGTTTGCATGTCTCTCTCTCTCCCGTGGTCGCGTGGATTGTTCTCCAGGTCTTCCAGTTTTTCCCTCCATATTTAGAAACATGCGTTCAG